TAATATTACTTCAACTGTTAAATTCGCGATTTATCTAAAATTGTCATTAGGCTTTGACTACCTATCTATCAATGTGTCTGTCTGCCGAATTATATGAAAGGTCACAGACAAGAAACCTTTTAACATTTTAATTTCTTTTACGTCTGAGTCCTATTCATGAGTACTCAGAGATTTAATTATTGTGTAGGCAAATCAAATACAACCAATACTTCAAAGTACTTTAAGAGACAGCTTTTTGCAAATTACCGACCTTGATTTATCGTTTTTATTTAATAAATAATATCGATTGCTTTAATACCTAATGATCATTTTATTTTTCCACTTTACTTCAACTTCCAATCATCAATTCGAATATGATCATTTTAGATTTTTCCAATACACAGGCCATATGAACCCAATGAGATTTTGTCGCTTCTCGTATCTGTTACATTTCTTTCGATCTATAATAAGCTCATGAAAGTTTTTCCGATAAGACGTTGATAAGTTTTTTCGCGAGCTCAGACGGCTCAGGCGTTGAAACTGTATTTATAGACGAGATGTCCAATAGCAATTATGTTTAAGTTGGTATGTAAAAAAATATTCTTGTGTTTGACTTTCGCAATATTAGCGGTCTAACCGCAATGTCTACCGTCGTAAAACACACGTGATCGTCGCTCGTCAGCGCTGAGGCGGCGATCCCGCCCGAACAGTAATACGGATTTACTTCCAGCTCTGTTATCCCGTTTTTCGCAAACTCTTGTTTCTTTCACCTCAAAATGCTAAGGTGAAATGTTTGATGCTCGGTTTGTACAGGACCATTTCAAGGGTGGTCCCATTTAAATTTAATAATAGAAAAAACAACCCCCAAGGGTGGAAAATTGGGGATGAACTTTTTTATACGCAATATCTCCGCCGATTATAAATCAATTTGAACGATTATTTTTTTGTTGAATAGGTATTATCAAAAGGGTGGTTTCATGCGAATTTTAAGAAAATATTTCACCCCCAAGGGTGGAAAATTGGGGATGAACTTTTTTATACGCAATATTTTCAATTTTTAGTTTTTTTTGTGTTCACGCATTTGAAGTCGGTTTTATTTTTTTTTAAAGTTAATTATGTATGTTCGTTTTTATTTATCTCTTAATATATACCTGAATTGTACAATTGTTTGTTATCTTAAATAAAATAAAATAAATATCAGATGAACGATTTCAATCTAGTTGAGTCTCTCAGTTGTGTAAGCGAGCGTGTAATCGCGTAGTAAACAGCGCTCATTAATTGCGTCCAATGTAGCGTGCACGCACTGAAGCCCGTGCAATCACATCATGAAATGAGTTGTGTGAATGTGTACCTGCCTGTCGGGAGTAATAACATCGGACGGCCGCTTCCGATCGCTACCAATCGTTAACGTGTACCTACTTATAGAGCCCTTAATATGAATGAAATAAAAGATAATAATTATTAAATTATAATTTTTCTTCTTCAATTTCAATTCAGTGTTGTTGTACTAAAATGCAATTAGGCACATGTTACTTATGATGCTTGTTACTTGTGACAGATACGGCGTCATTTCAAATTAAAGGGCGCACTTATAAATTGCGGACCGCATATAGGCTTGCCAGACGATACCAGTGAAACTTTCTTTTCTTTCGATAAACTCATGTCTTTTTTATACGTACCTACATGTTGTATGTCTACGAGTCTTATTAATCGCTTTGTACATCATTTATATTTACGGTCTGTTCTAATCTAGTTATATTTAGAATAAAATACTGTACAATTCGACATAAGAAGTCTCAAACCTTAGAAAGTTATCTTACGTTACGTATAGCCTGCTGATCTGATAAATGCGATGAGTTGTATTTTTTTGATGGTTTGATGTTTAATCTCGCACTAACTAAACCGATTCAGATATTAAAGTCATTTCAGCCACAATTGAGGAGTTATCATCCCCTTAACGCCAACTTTTCGGCAGAATATGGTCCCCATTTTTACGACACAAAACTTGTTAAAATTATTTATGGAACATTTTGTATTGAAGTAAATTATTAAAGAGCAAACCTCACTCAAATCTTACCCTTCCACTAAACTTCCACATGGAACCCTTCTCAGACTCGCTGGTAATAATGTGTTTCAGTAATTAGCCCCGCTAATATTACAGGCCTCAGGATGTAGCCCCTGTTTCACAAGTGGTTCATGTTACCCTAATGAGTTCATTGCTTACTAATTGGACTAATCTGTACCGCGCACCTCCAATTATGTAACTGTCGGTAATTAATCCACTTGTATTTAAATTGAAATTCATACATAATCATGATATCATTTACTAGATTCAGTTTGTAACTATCTATTGGTATAATCCATAGAGCAGAAAGAAAAACTGAATTCCTTAGGGAAATGTTGAGGAAATACGCGTCGTATTTCCTGTCTTAGAATTTCATATTACATAATTGTTTATTTTTCTTAATTTGTATTTGATATCGGCCCATAGCTTGAGGCCAGTTAGTGTGTTTCGAAGAATTATTTTTGTGCCGCTTTATTTTTTGTACCGAAGGTCACCGTATTTTAGGGGAATATCTCGCATAATTATGCGTGTCGTTATTCGATTCGAGAACATACTCGTACTTATTAATATGTTACCATTGCTTTACCTACTTACAGTGAGCCTACATAGTTTTAAACTTTATCTTAACGCTTATACAAAGCGATGTGTTATACATATTTAAGTAAGAGTCGCTAATGAACTCATTTATACTAATTTGAAACTCGGCAAAGCCCGGTGGGCACGCAAATGGACCGGGCGCGTACGTGCCGCGTCCTGCCGGGTCCTACACGAGCCCATCGTAATTCTGCCAGAATACATTCATCATCACGTAATCTGCCCTAATTTGAGCCTCACCGAGGAGAATATGTTGATTTTGTTTTCGCAGCTTAATTTCGCCTAATTGATCTGTAGAAATTACTCCGTTTATGAGTTTGAATAACTTTGAAACGTCCTTTTCATTTTAAACTCGCAGAAGTTCCAACCCGTGAAATATTTAGTTCATAACAATCTACGAATTCATTTTTCGCTCAGGTATTTTACTAACTTAATCATGACTAGGTACATAATTTTCAATATTTTTTTTTATTTTTTTTTATGTCTGGAGTCTCGCAGCAATAAAAAGTTATGGGCGTTTTATGTACTAATTCAGAACTTAACGGACACAATCTTTAACGGACCAAACTTGTGATAGGGTTATAGTGTAATTTTAACTAAAGAAATATATTTTCTGTGTACGATATTAACGAGGGTAAAAGTAGATTGATATTTGTTCAGAAGTACGTAATAAAAATCCTCGAAATATAGCGCATTAATTTAAAAGGAATCAAATTTCGTGTGAAAGAAAAGAATACTTTCTTCTCGGTCGTAGTCTTTGTGACCGAGCAATCTGTATTTATCTGTGTCGACTAAACAAAAGGTCATTTTGTCTGGTTCAAGGCCGTGGGCGTCCTCTGAACATTTTTACGGCCGCGTTTGGACGTTTCGTGCATTATATTCGTCTACTTTAAAAATAAGGAGACAGCATGTGTATCTCAATAACACTCACTAACAAAAAAAAAACATCTCTAATTTCCCTTGAAACTTGAGCTACTTTTAGACACTGATTTCCCGAAACCTTTTTCTTACGAATTCGCTTTGTGTGAATGTTTCCACAAAGTTTTTCGCTTATCTACGTTTCTCAGAACGTCAAACTTGCATAGAAGTTAAACGGTAGTTTTCTAACAACAATCTTACTTCTTACATAATTTTTTTCTCGTTATACAAAGACTACAAGGCTTCAAATTTTGTGATACTCTGAATTGAGTAAAAGTGTTATTTATCATCAAATTTCTTGTTTGCCGCGAATCGTCCGCAAGACGAAAGATCTTTCAGCTCGCTCACTTGAAATTCATGGGCTACATCCGAATAACGTTCTGCACGTGAAACATTTTATCATAAAATGTCGCTTATACCTTTTTTGCGGCTTAAATCACATCAATTTTTCAACCTTTCCATTAAAATAAAAAGAAATATTTTAAAAATTGAAGCTGTTTTATCTGCCGCTGACAAATAATTAATTTGTTCAATTTTATAGGCATTTTAATTAGACTGCCTAATATTTAACATTAAATTATAACGAGCTATATCATTAAAAATCATAACGAGCGTATTCCTGGAATTTATGTTTTTAACTAGATAAGATATAGTATTTTGGAGTCCTTTCAATGTTCAGTAAAATAAGTATTCTGATATAAAGTGTACAGCTTTTTGGTGTCATAAGAAAAAAAATGGTGTCCAACTGTTGTAAGGAGAATCCTCCGAAAACCGTAAGTTATCGCGATGTGGCCGACGCTGCTTTAATTATACAGCGACCCGCGCTATTTCCGACCAATCTTTACGATTTTTTCTGTTAATAATGCCCCATATATTTTATGACTAAGAACGGATATTAAGATAGATTTAATAAAACGTTCGAATTATTTGGAAGTCTATTCGTGGCGAAGTAACGACTCGGTAATAAAGTTTTAAGTAAAAACTTCAAAATACACATGTTAAACCAAGAAGCATATTCTCTAAAATATATTGAAGCGGCACCACGGCAGCTCCTCGGTAGTTGCAGCATCAGTTCGCCAGCATAAGCAGTTTCAGCTCAACTCCGACGTTTTTCAGATGGCATACATTTAATAAATAAAAAGTAAGATAATGGGCAACTAAATTGCGTGCTTTGAAATTTTATGACATAAAATGTGTGAATTGGAAAAATAATAAAGAAATGTGGTTGAATATATTACTTTATTTGATATAAGCAAAACAAAATAAAATAAACAAAAAGGTATAAAATAACAAAAAGACAGTCACGGGAATAAAAATAATAGTAAAAATGCCGTCGCTCTGCAAGGCAACACAGAAAAAATGATGGATTCGGCTCCAGGCAAAGATCTCGCTCAGCACCGGCTGCACCTAGGGCAGGGAGGGCAGGAGTCGGGTCAGGACTTACCATGTGCAGCGCGTACGCCAGGATGCGCATCGTGTAGGCGGGCAGGTTCAGCACCACGAAGACGGACGACACGATCAGCAGCATGCGGGTGATGCGGTTCTGCGAGCGCGGGCAGCCCACCACGCGCGCCACGCGCCGGCCCGCCGGCCGCTCCGCCTTCACCAGCTGCGTGCGCGCGCGCTCCAGCCGCCACACGCCCGCCATGATCCACGAGTTCAGCACCACGATCACCAGCAGCGGCAGCGTGAACGAGACGCCCGTGTCGATGATGTTGAACCGCGCCGCGTGCTCCAGGTAGTTGTAGTCGATGTTGCAGTCGTTGGTCGTGGGCGTCGCGAAGCGCAGCACGGGCAGGTTGATGAGCAGCGAGGCCAGCACGATGGACGCGATGACGTGCCGCGCGCGCGCCACCGTGCACACGGCGTTCCTGCGCAGCGGGTACAGCACGGCCACGAACCGCTCCACCGTGAACGCCACCACCAGCCACGCGCTCAAGCAGCTCGTCACGTACGAGGTGTATACGAAAACTTGACAGAAGCCCGGTTCGTGGAAAACCCCCGTTATACCCAACGCGTTCAACCACGGGGGCAGAAGCTGAACTAGAAATACGGAATCTGAGATCGCCAACGCGGACAAGTACTGGCTGGTCGATTGCAGTCGGAGCTTGCTGGTGAAAAAGACGGAAACGCACATTCCATTTCCCAGAAGTCCGAGAAGGACTAACATGGGAGTGTAGTAGATGTTCAGCGAGCTCGCCACTTGATCCGCGACATAATCGACGAGCGTGAGGTTCGGGTACGTGAAGTTATCGAGCACGAAAGTTTCGTACAGACTGTAGTTAGAGTAGTTGCCCGTTATGAGGTCGGCCATCTCGCGGCGCCCGACCGCCGCCGCGGCGCTCGCCCTCCGACTGTGCCGGGGAGCCGCGCGCCGAGCTTTTATAGCGACGCCGACCCAGGTGACCACTGTAGCGACGCGCTCCGCCCCCACGTTCAACAAGTAAACGCACTCACACACCACCCCGTTGCACTCCCGCTCTGATTTACTGGATCCCCGGGGAAGAGCTCGACGGATGCAAGTATGTGTGCACTGTGCAAGTGTGCACGCGGCGGGGGGCGGCGCGCGTGTGTGTGTCGCAGCGGCGCGCGGCGTAGCCCCCCTCTACGAGGAACTACGTCGTAGCATGCTACGAATTATGGCGCAGCTATGTATGCTACGAATTTTCGTAGAGATCGCAGATTGATATCATTTTAACTTAATTTCGAATTCGACAATGAATGCTTCAATTGAAGCAATATAAGAAATAATGTGATCGAAGGTTGTCCGTCTCGATTCGTCTCTATTAGCGTCGTGTGCCGGTCGGATCCGTCCGGGTGCCGTCGTCGTCGCGTCTGCCATTCACTGTCGGCAAATATTTCCATGAACATTTTCTTTTTGCTTTGTACTCGCGTATGCAAAGAGGTGATAAATCTACAAGATTATACTCGCGTGTGTTTGCGGCCGTGCTCGCGGTTCTGACAGTTATAATAATTGGTTTGGAATACTTGATCGTCTTTTTGGATTAGGACATGAACTTAACACTACACTACATATTACACTTTTTACGAAACCTTTGATCGCTATAATATACTTTTTATTCGTGAAACAAATGTACCGAATAACAAGAAGCGTTTTATAGGTAATATTGGTAAATCAAACGTTTTCGTGCGTTTTTTTCCAGCTATGTATGTATTTTAAAATAATAAAAAAAAAACTTAGTTAATCACGTCAATTTCGGCAATGTATTGTTGTAGGTAATTAATAAAGTCGTCAACAATGCAGATCTATTATATCTACATATATTGTATGTCGTTACAATCCGTGTGCAAATAACTCTAAAGCTCTTTAAGAGCTTTTTAAATATCGTAGAGTTGTAACTTTTGTGTTACACGTGATTGTCAGGTGGCGAGTTACAGAACAAAGATTCTATCAATATTTGAACACGAATTCTTTTAGAAGTGCTTTCTTAAATAAGTAAAATCATTTTTCTTTTTTCTTTGCTTTCTTAATATATAGGCCAGTAGAATTAAACACAAAAATTGATTAAATCGGAAATTGTTAAAATAACATGCAATGCGTTGAATGTTCTGTATGTGATTTAATTTATGAGAACTACGCAGACTATGAAAAAGTTTTGTACAAAATGTAACGGAAGACATAAACAACCCATTACAATAGACCCGGAGACATTATAGCGCGGACAAGTTTAGCCTTGGCCAAGTAGACTGCGTCAGGACTCTGCTGCGGCGTGTAGAAAGGTTTAGGGTCTAAAAGGCTTACCATCATAACTATTTAATTAAAATGTATAAATATAATTAACAAACGTTCGCTATGTCGATAAGCTATGGAGTCTTGATAGAATAACAATCCCCACTAAAGCTCCATAATTGGCTTGGGTACCAGGCATTATTGTAGAAGGTTTCTTATCGTCATTAATTTTCTACCAACTCTTACAATTTCCGCGTCTTATTATTTCTTTCGATAAGCACTAAGCTCCGATGGAAAAGGGTTAATAGGGTATCAATAATTTTAATGTACAGTCATGGAATGAAAAGGTTCGTCAGTTTTCAAATTGATTCCTTCAACGAATCGCGAACACATATTACCTTTGGAAACTATGTTACAGAATAATCTCGAGTTAGAGAAAATAATCTTTAACTGTTCGTCAGTAAAGTTCAAAATTATTCAGATCAAAGTTGTTTGACGATTTATCTTGTCAAGAAGATTATTATGATTGATAAACTAAAACCTTCTTGTTGGTTCAACCTGCCATTATTATTTCTATTAAATAAAAAAAAACGATTGTCAATTGGTCAATGTCATCATTGCATTGCACTGATGGGATAGAAAAATAAACAAGCAAAACCTTATTCGTTAGCAAACGTCATATTTATTTAAATGTTAGCAGCACTGTTTCTTGCCCTGTTATGTTGGCAGGTTTGACTCTCACAGTACCTAGTGCAAGCGAAAACCGACACTAAGGTGACGAACCTTTTCATTCCGCGACTGTACATCTAAGTATCTCGTTATTGTCAATTCGTAAAAAAATCTCTTATTAATTCTTGAGCTGGTAAAATTCGTTTCGAAACTCATTATAATTTCTGCAAGTAACATTTTATGGCGACTTGTCATACAAAAGTTGGATTGCAAGAATCATATAGCTGTCCTAATTAAATAAATAATGTAATTATTTTTCTACTTTTTAGTGTAATTTTTTTGAGTCAGTTTAATTTTTATAATACATAATAGTTCTGGTGATGATTAACTACAGATAAATCTGATCTGGTCATTTTAGTGTACCTACTCTCATTTTGCTGTATTGTTTTATGAAAAACATGTTCTACAACGATATACGAGTTGTGTTCAGAAAATATCAGGAATTTTGAAATTATGTGATTTTGAGTCTGATTTATTTTTATACATAATGAATTATGATAAAATTTTCAACTCTTTTCGTTGTTTACTTTTTCTGTGAAGAATTTGAATTAGGTTTTGCTTATAAAATGAAATGAAAAATGTTTGAAATGTTAACAATAGCTTTTGGCGAGTCTGCTATGAGTGAAACAAGGGTTTACGAGTGGTAAAATTGTATCTAAGAAGACCATGAAGGCGTAGAAGGTGACAATGAAACGCGCGTCGCCGAAAGATGTAAAGGCTATTTCAAAGATTTGAGAAGTATTTTGAGAATTAGAAGAAGCGCTAGCACACGTGCATAATGTATAATAGGGACTACATATTTTAAATGCGACAATATTAATTTAGATGAATAAATAAATACTTTTTTGTAAAAACGAAAATTCCCGTTATTTTTTTAACAGACAGATGTGTAACATGAATATTTTGAAGTACTTACATCTTCTATAAATGATTTGTACAAATTCTTTTTCCCTGAAATAAACCTGAATTTTCTGTGGTCCGGATAATTTTGACGAGTTTTAAATTAATATTTTCAAGACTACTTAGTATTGTAGTTCTACCTTTTCATCTCTTTTAATCATCAAAGCGTTCAGAACCCGGTGATTTGCAGATTCTGGGTTATATTAATTTTACCAGGATATTTAGCATTCGAGGAAAAAACAATTGAGAAATTAAAATTTGAATTTTCTCGGATTTGCGGAGGTTCCATGAGTGCTTTGCCTTTTAACGGAAGCCATTTAATTTTGAGATAAATTGAGATTACCTCAAAGAAAAGAAATAATCACTCTCCGATGTTACGGCTCGTGGTATGTTTGCTACTTTGGCGGCGCGATATATGCTTTGTGATATTAAACAACAATATCAACGATGCGAGTCAGCATGCGTAACGCATATTCTCGGCAAGCATGTGTGTATAAATGGGAGACGTTGCCTCGGTTTGCGCCGCGCCTTACGAAGCTTCGAAGTTTCCTTTAAGTAATTACGCAACTTAGATAATTAATATTAACGGCACTATCTGCGCTTGTGCTCTTTTAATAACTTCCTCGTAGACAACTTCGCCTGTAAAACCTTTGGGAAGTGTTTATTGGAAATCTTTGGTGTTGTTCATAATTTGTTCTTTTTCAGGGCCGATGCTCGTTGCTTCGTGTAAATCATTACAAGAAGAAAATATAAATTTGTTGAATATAAGCTTATGACTTATTTCTACCTAAACCATCCCAGAAATATTCGCTCCACTTTACCAGTAGTAAATTAGTAAACCTCCGTATTAACTAATTGAAAATGAACCGAAGCAAGTACGATAACATTGTCATTCAGAATGAAATCAGTAAGCAGAATCAGAATAGATTAATACCAAACGTGGCTGTTGGAAGTGTTTTACTCAAGACAACAAAAGTTACTAATGATATAGCAATTCCTCTAAGCTTGAAGCAATGTCAGTTATTTTTCACACTGTTCACACTTGGACGATAACAGCGTCTTGAGAAAAATTCTCGTCATATACTTTCTTGAAAAGGATATGAATCCAGTCAAGGGTGAATTCCTCGCGCTATAGTGTAAACTTAGAGATCGCAAGAAGGGAGGGCACGTTTGTGTTGAAAAGAATAAAATCTTTAATCCTATTACTTCCTGTAAAATGGAAAGACATATTGTTAAGATTGTTTTTCTTTGTTTGCACAAATAAAGGAAAATACTCTTAGCCGCATATAAGGCGGATTTTACTGATATTTAATGTTAGAAAGCCGACTTTATTTGAGACCGTAGAAATTATTCACGGGTTTTAGTCTGCGGGCTGCCGTCCGTCAGCCAGAGTTGATGTGAGATACGCTAGTGTTAATTAGTCAAAGAATTTAGCATTTAAATTACAATTCGACCTGTTCATTGGTTTTAGATGGCAATCAATTTACAAAATGATTGTGACCAATAGATAAATTCCGACAAACTATATGGATAATTGATTTTTAGGTTACATTATAATTTTCTTAGAGATTCTTGAAGAATATCAGCTATAAATAATAGGTATATCCGCCTAAAATAAAGGCATAAACAGTTAGATGTAAACGTTAGTTGACCTTCATCTTTGAGAAGTGTATTGGCGCGGAGTATAAGCGGGGAAATCTCACGAAGTGATTACTTTCAAACTTGGCGGTGCATCTGGACCAACCTGATGGTCCTATCGGTAGGCCAACTCTCACCATTAGTTGGAGGCGTCAAAAATGTTTCGCTTCTAAAAATGAGCAAAGTTAGCGGCGCATCAGTTAGCTGAGCTCGTGTAACGTCCGCCGTCGGCTCTTCGGCACCTGTCACGAGTCCCGCGTGTAAATCAGAATAACTGGCAGTGCTTATTTTTTAAGGGCTGTCGTTTTACGGATTATTTTAGGTTTGCTGACATTATGGAGGAATGTAGTTGGTTGCTTGTGTATATCGAGTGGTCTGTCGG